AATTTCATCTATGAGTCAGAAGTTCATTTTCTGCTATAATTCGAGTATGGGTCTAAAGTCGACATTATGTTTCAATGTAATTTTCCAATGTGTCATATCAATGAAATACTAAAAGGTATTGAAAAAGGTGATGAGTTGGTGGAATATTGAATGGTACTGGAAAACGAGTGAGTTCCCTTCCCAAAATATTATAGAATTGAAACAAAGAATAAACTGCGAGATCAAGAAGATGAAATTAGGTACCTTTACAAAGAGGTAACACAAGATGGGTTATTCACATGTCAATAATTTTAAATGACGTATTTCGCATTATTTTCTGATCTGTCCTTTTAAAAAAATCACCGTGTATATGTACAGTATCGCATAGTGTGGGATTTGAAATTATAACATTCAAAATTGAAATATTTTTTGGAATCGAAGAGTCAAATTCTGTATAGGGCAGATAATTATTGTTATTCTGTATTTATAATGATCCAAGCATCTTTTATGCTAATCGACTCTCATTAAAACGTTCCAGATTTTTCAATATATCTGTTGTTCAACCAGAATTTCCCAGATTTATTCAGAATGTGAAAAGGTTACATTTGATCTATTTCCTCCACTTTTAATATCACAATAATATATGATTTACAGATTTTCACTTTTGGTATTATTCTGTGTCCTAAGCATTTGGGCATATTTTGTGAGTATGTTAGATCGTTCCTTCTTTTCATTCCATATTATCCTGTTGAATTTACCTGAAGGCTATGTATACTGGTGCTTTTCAAACGAACGTAGATAACCTATTCAGCAAATCCTTTTCCACAGCAGTTTCATAAATGGGCACTTCAATTGCGTTGAAGTTTCGGAATTTTCTAGAATGAATTCGTTCATGACCAGTTGTCATTTTCGACTATCCAAATAGAACTGACCTATAATCATACTACACTATGCTAAAGGAGAATACAAACTTATTAAAGAAATTCCTTTTATCAACTGCCAAAGTTGGGTCCAATTTATAAGTGTAGTTCTAGTTCGCGTTCATTCAATTTCAGATGTGATTTTACAGAAATCTTCATAAAGTTACTATGAACATTTCCTAAAATGCTTAGTTATCAGGATAAAATTTACATCATTATGAGACGATGAAGTTCATTCCAATATTGCATCGAAAATCAGCCGATTAACTAAATCCCAATTTCATCACCATATACATGATGGTACATTAAACCAAGAGTCTGAAGAATATTATGTGTTGTAGCTACAACTTTACCGACAAATAACCACAAAGCATTTCTCTACCAATAATAATAGTTTGGCATACTTATCGGGTTTGTATACACTGTTCCCAAGATAAGAAGGGCCAGTGTGGGAAACTACAAGAGTTACTGATTTGGTCAAAAAGAAGAAAAGTTACGCGAGTGAAGGACCAACAAAATAATTTCGAAAATCTGATATGATCGTTTTTGAGGAGATATTTCTAAAAAACTGTATTACCAGATTTTATTTTTTTGTGTCTTGCTTTAATAATGGAGTTATGACAAAACTGAGAAAAAAATATTCATGACAACTTTTGATGCATATTCAATTTGGCATTATCGATTTTCTGATCAAAAGTTTCGTTTTTGAGCAACCATCATCAAATAATTTTTTCAAATACAGTCCTGATATTTTGATATCAGATACGAATAGCCCTTTCCATTCTGGTTTCGCCGATGTACTACATATTGTGGTTTTGATGCGTTTCGAACTTCTTTGGTCCATAATCAAGTAGTTTTTTGAATTCGGACCTGAATTTCTCATAGTTATGGGAAGGTGTTAGTTGAATTTACTATAAAATGATATGTAGGAAGCTCTGGACAATTTGCCACTGGCGGAAGTTCAGAACTGTTAATTCCAGCAGGATGGTGCACCTGCACATAACTCAAGAGCAGTTAGAGATTACCTCTCAGATTAACAAAAAGAGTGATGAGCACGAATTCTGAAACACCCTGTCCAGCTTTCTCTGGGGATATGTCAAGAACTATGTTTGTGAGCGAGCAGAAGAAGAACTCAGAATACAGGTTCTTGAAGCATTTCATAGTATAACGCCAAAAATGTTGAATACTGTTTTAAATTCAACAGTAAAAATAAGATGTGATGATGTGTGATGAGGAAAATTGATGTCCATATTCCAAAAATTCCTTGATGATGACCAAAATGAGCTCGAAATCGGAATGGAAAGGGTTATGATATAAAAATATCAGCGGTATTTGAAAAAAATTAAGTTGAAGATGGTTGGTTATAGACGAAACGTTTGATCATAAAATTGATGATGCCAAATTGAACAGCATCAAAAGTTGCCATGAGGGTGTTTTTTCGGTTTTTGTCATAACTTCATTATTAACGCCAGAAAAAAATGAAATTGAATATACGGAAATTCAGTTTTTTCGGAATAACTCGAGATCGGAAAATCATCTCAGAGATTTTTGGAAGTAATTTTGTTGGTCCTTCACTCGCGCAACGTTTCTTCAATTTAACCAAATCTGCATCTCTCGTAGTTTCCGAGATGCCCATACTGGCCCTACTTATCTTGGGCATACTGTAAAGCCCTATGCACCCAATAAAAATTTGTGAGGACACTTGTATCATAGAGCCGAAGTCTGAAATTGCTTCTCTACATTTCGCGAACTATACCCTCTGACTATCCGAGAGTAACTGCCTTATGCTTTCTCTGAAAATAGTAATAGAATCGTTATGGACGCCATTTTGGGATTTTTTAAAATGAAATGGAGGTTCGAGTGATACCTCATTTCGAACGTCTCTCAATTCTCTAAACGAGTTTCAGACCAAAGCAAAATGGCGGTAAATAATGTTTAAAATCTCATACCAGGATCCCAGGTTGGGCAAGTCACTTTTTCAACGTTCAATTCACGAATTAAATATTGTTTCGGAGCATCGGCTGGGGATAGTCCTGCACGATTCACTGTTGCGTTCCAATTAACAGTGATGCTGTTGAAGTGGCGCATGGAGTAACAAAGCCTACAACGAACACATAGAAACAAATGATGATGTGGTGGTGAGCATCAGAGAAGAAGTAGGACGGTGTATATAGGTGGGTGTGGAAAACTACCAGCTGCACGTGAGAGCGGCCCAATGCTTCTTAGTGGGCCTCCTCTAACGGGAGTTAACTAGGTAGCTGGTAGGCCTGCCACTGCAACATATGGTAGTGAGTACATTAATAGACTATAAAACACAACCGAAAAACTCTGAAAGAGCTGATGGACGGTACCTGAAAAGTGTGTTAGCCAGCTCTCTTAAGCGAAACACATCACTCATAAAACACTTTGGGGCTTACAAATAGGTCCCATCACGACTTGTTGCTGATGTGCAAACGTCCCTCACTTTTACCAGTACCTGTAACGTGCACTCCTGTACTTCAACTGTGTATTGGCATCCAGAAAAATGTCGAAAGGGAACCACCTTGAGCAGAATACTAAGAAATATCGTTCTTGACTTTCAATAGATATTTCCTCAATTTTGTAATTTTGTTCAAGATGGCTCCCTTTCAACATTTGTCACATCACCGAACCATCGTTCCAGTTGAAAAAAAATCTTACGAAATATACTTTTGGGCACCCTGTATATTGGTTTGATTCATGTCAATTATTAATAAGCTTCAGTGTATAAACACTTTGATTTCCTTTTATTATATTTTCGCATTTCATTATGGGAGATACTCCCGCAACATAGACCAACAACAATAGTATCTGTCTCTTTCGCAGGACTGGAGCGAAATAACACTTGAATGCATCTACATAGCTACATAGCTACATATAGATTGTTTCAAAATGAGGTTGCCAGGATGATATTGCTGATGAAGCTTAGAAAATAATGGGACCTGAAGTTTTTCATCCCTTCACTAGGGGCAATAGAAAGTAGTATTTTTTTCAATTTTTCCTCAGAAAGTACTGATTATTTAATAAATGTTGGAATATTTTTAGTTTGCTTGTTGCTTTTAGGTAAAGAAAACGAACACCTAACTAGAAAATATTAAACAATTTTGACGGGGCCAGTGATGAGTACTATACTACTTTGATGATTTGCCATTTTTTTTTTGTTTGATTATGCACAGAAGATGTGATCAAATACTTGTGTTATTGAAAAAATCAGAGTGGATAATGACAGAGGGAAAGTAAACAAAATTAAATAAACAAATTAACCCAACAAAAAATGCACTGTTCAGTCAAATGATAAACTCATAGAAAAAAAAATGTCGGTTGAATAGAATCGTATCTACGTCCTTTTGATTAATTAAAAAAATAACCAAGTTCGGATATTTTCGTAGCTCCAACATAATCTATCCTCCAGACTTTTTTTATGTAACATTATACGGTTATTATTCAACGATCACTGATAGTTATGAAATAATTCTGAAGAATCCATCATGTGTGAGCTGTCTGATCATCAATCACTAACGGTTCATGAAGTAAATCACTAACTATTTCAATAGCATATAAGATTATTTGGAAATATTGTCAGGAAACTTGGAGATATGATTCCATAAGGTAAAATGCTATCAAAATTTTTCGAAATCATTAGTTTCCAAAATACACCAATCACATCTATTTTGTTTCTCTAATTTAATATTTGCTATGAATTTATAGATTATTTCTCGAATTTTTTGTGAAAATCGGGTGATGAATGACTATATCATTTATTGGTATAAGCACATAAGTTTTCAGTTTTGGGGGAAATTCCCATTGGTGTTAACTTATATTAACCCAGATAACTTGGATCAATCGATAGTTAGGCTTTGTTTCAAAACAATTGATGATTCATGAAAGATGGAATCCAAAATTGCAAAAAATTCAAAGAGATATATTGTGTGCAACCAGTATTTTTTTAACTGACATTATTTTTTGTCGAATCATTTATCCATGTTTTCTCACGCATTTTCCCTTTGAAAAGCACTTGTATGTATGATTTTTTGAAGAAGTATTAACTCTCCAGTTTCCTCACGCTTAGGCATTTCTTTTTAGAAACAAGAGGAAGAGAAGGAGGTGCGCAAGAAAAAAGAAGAACAAAAAGATAAATCATCTCGCGATCGAGAAAGATCTGCTTCGCGTTCGCCGAGTCCAGTAAGGAAAAGGCACAGAAAAGAAGAAAAAGAAGAGAAGAAGAGACGTCGTTCGAAATCAAGGTTAGAATGTAACAACCAGCGGCACAACTCGCAATCTAGACTGCTATGTCACAAAATAAAAGCACATCAAATAACGAGATCGAACTAAATCCCATGAAGCTTGCGCCTTTGAGACCTGTCATATATTACTCACTCTTAGTCATGTTTCCAAACACCAGGTGATATAAGTCAATGTCATGAATGACAGTTTGCATTATTCTTGTCCAGACGCGTTTTCAGGCGAGAACTTGGGTGAGTTGTCAGGTTGTTGAAATATGTTAGGGGCTCAGAGACATTACATTAAAACACTGCTCTGGTAGTCGAATGGTATATACAGGGTCGCTGATATGTATGGAAACAGGTGAATATCTCGGTAACATGTTGTTCAGGGTGATCAGAATTCTGAATCTTGAACCACCCTGTATTTGTTTCAATTAAATGTCAGTAGATAGTAAATCAGACGTAAAGATGGGAACATTGGAGCGGTTTTGTTCGATAATGAATAGTTTCGACACAAAAAAATCTTGAAGTTGAAAAACCTAGATTTTAAACACCCTATACCTATGTATTCATTCCTGCTAGACCCCAAGTGTGATAGATCGATGGAATTAGCTCTTCAGGGAGAATCTGAAAATCCAATAAATTACAGGGTGTTCTATTCAAAATAAGGAAGTTAATAAAAAATCCGGTATAACTGAAAAAGTGGCAACATTGGCTATAACATTTTCAAATCTGCCACGTTTTGAAATCACACAGTACATAAATTCAAAAAAATCTAACAACAGATTGCCGAGATATTCACCTGTTTCCATACATATCAGCCTGTATACCTAACGATAGTATTCAAATTTTGAAGGATTTGTTATTAGGATATGAAGTATTCTAAAATTGGATGTATAGTTTTCTACCTTCACGATTTGCTCTTATAATGAAGTGTTTTCGAAATTAATTTCGATTGGCAGTTGATCTTTTTCCACTAGTTTCTGTAGACTTTGCAATTAATTAAATAATTCTGCCGTTTTGATTATACTGGGATGGATAACATTGAATTTGGAAAACTGTATCGAGTTTTCGACATCTTGTAAAATGGAATTTATAATTTCATACACGCTGATTAATTGGTTCAAAGTGTCCTTAATAAACATTGAATTTTCCCGATATACTTGACCTTTCACTACTGTGTTTTGCCTTTTGATATTTGTGGCTAGATTTTCTTGGTTATGCTGCAATTCCCCAATCAGCTGATCATACCTTTCTCCGTCATCGGAGTTTAATTTTCCAGTTATGGATTTGAAAATCGATCCCATTCCATTCATCAAGCCACGTTTGGTTCTATGAGGGCAAGGAAATATTTCGAATAGTCTTTCACATACGATTTTTTCGGAGAATTGTAAAATTTTCTGATGAATAATTTAGATTGCTCTTCACGAGTGCTTTCAAAGTTTGTGAATGTAATTTTAATTTGTTCATTTCTAATTAAGAGAACAAACTCAAAGTCTCGCTCCAAGTGAATTTTAATAAAATAATACGTGCTACATGTTTCGACTCCTAGGAGTCATCATCAGGCTTGCTAGGTAGGAGGAGAAAAGAAACTATTAAATTGATAACATGGTTCACACGGGTTTTAGTCCCTAAATAATTGTTTATTTCTATCACGACTGGATTCAAATCGTAATAGTGGATGAGAGAGTGCGCATAAGTTTCTAGTTTGGCTGTTGAGAGGTATAAGGCCTGTGTTGTTCTTTAAGCTTTGAATGGTTACCTTTTCTTGGAGTCCGAGAATTCCAGAGATCCTGAAAAATGAATTATTTCGTAGTCGTGGTGGAATATTTTTTTAAGGGTCGTTTCAAGTTATTCATGTGCATTTTTGGTTGATTTTCTGTTGAGACTGTTTTCATTTTTCTGTCAACCTTTTTTATCTGCACAGGATTCATGAATTTGTTAGCTTCCTTTTTTCACGTTTTTTGTTTTGGCGTTTAGTAATTTTTTCTTTTTTATTGATGATATCTGCGTTAATTTTGGAGTAAAGGATTTTCAAACGTTCCTTATGATCATTAGTATAATCATTCAATAATTTCCGATCAATCTCTATAGGTTTGAATTTGGTGACCGAATGAATGGAGTTATTGTATGCAAGGATGGCGTACAACATTTTCATTGATGCTGGTGTTTTAGAGAATCCCTGTGTGTTTAATAGCCGAATATGTTCCAAAATAGTGGAATGGAATCTCTCAATCATGCCATTAGATTGAGGATGATGCGGTGAGGCAAAGTGTACTTCTATTTTATGTAATGACAAAAGTTCTGATATTAGGAAGTTATTGAACTCTGTTCCGTTGTCGACAATTATTTTCTTCGGTATGCCATGATGGGAAAAGAACTGAATTAGGTTATCTGCTATTTCAGTGCCTGTTTATGAGTTCACGAGATAGGCTTGTGCATATTTAGAAAAGCTGTCTATAATGGTGAGGAATTTTGTTTTTTTGATTGTAATGGTATCAAAGTGAATGATTTCAAACGGTTTCGTCGCGGGGGGAGTGATATTAAGTGTCATTTTTTTAAAAATTGCATTTCCTCGTTGGACCCAGCACTGGATCCAACGCCCCATAAGTCGAAACTTGTGTGGGGTTAGGAAAGCATACATTTACAAACATCCATGGGGGTTCGAACCCATGCCTCGGTGGGAGTCCCCATACGAACTCAGCCGACCACCGGGCCGGCGAATTTTAATTGGTCCATTGGTTAATATAATTTTGGATTGACTCCTTTATATTTGGCCAATAGTATTTGTCCTTGACTCTTGCGAATGTTTCATCAACTCATAAACGCTTCCCTAAAATTTTGATAATGAGGAGGGTTCGCCAAATTCGGATTGAGAATAAATGATTGAAGATCTACTTCTGCTGTGTATATTAGGTTCATTATCATATATTTTTAGAAAATTAGTACTCCAACTATCTTCTAAACTTTCATATTCCTTTTTATAAGAAGATTATAATAAATCTAGATTATGTAACAAAAAACATTCCGGTATATCATTTGGATCATTAGTGCATTCTCCAGAAAACCGTTTTTTTTTTCTTTCAAAGTTTTTTCGTGCCAGCTTGATTGATATAAAAGAGGTATTGTTGACTCATAACTGATTGTAGATGGAAGGGGTCTCCAAAACACCCCTGCCGTGATTTCCAATTTTTCACTCCTGATTAAGCCTATCAGCTAGAGAGATAGGAAACAAAGAGCGTGCTTCTCCATGAGGGGTAGAACTCGAGGGACGTGTGGGATCGAAAACTAAACTTATTCACTCGCTATCGCACTACTCGCGATCTCTAATCGTAATGCCGGCTTTCTAATCAAACTCTATATTCCTCATTATTCCAGATTTTTTGGGATTTTCTCTCCTCGTTTCTATAAAATAAAAATATTAATATTATTTCAATATACGTGTAGTAAGGACAAATCAGATGATTTGCCCCAAAATGTCACTGCGTTTAAAGAATTTTCCTATCAGAGAGCCTAAAAGAAAAATTCACCAGCTTGTCAGTGACAATTTGTATTGAAAAAAGTTTGGAGAAGAGGGATAAAGGTATATAGAAAAAATATCAAATTTTCACTTATCTTTGGACGTTTCGGGACCAAATCTGCTCCCGTTTTCAACATAAGAAATGATTGTTTTCATCAATTAATCTTATTTACCATTTTCATGTTCAGATTTTAGTAGTGAATACCATGTTCTGTCTATATCAACTGAACAAGAAGCAATGCTATTGTCTCCGTTCAGAAGAATGCAAACAGATTCCTTGATTTTTCTCTTCTGGTTGTCATCTTCTTTTCTAATGATTTAAATATTATTCCACTCTGCCATATGTTGTCCGTCTTCAGTAAGGATATGTTCAGCTAGTTTCGATTTATCGATGTGTCTTTTCTTTATATTGCACTTATATGTTATTCCTTCGTCCTTACTGAAAACTCAGGCAATCAATGCATTGCAATCAATGCATTACTCAGCTCTCTCAGGTTTTCAGGTTTTGAGCTTTCGAACAGGTGAAATTCAACTAGAATCAGGCTCAGGTACTTAGATTTTGATCAAAACCAGTCTATTAATGAAGCTGGTCAAAAACACTTCATTACACATTTACTATCCGATGTTACCACGTTCTGTTATTTATCTGATGCGTGACAACCTTGCTTCATTGCTAGCTCGGTAACAGTACTGTCTGGAGAGCCTAGGATGCCACGATTTTCGTGGAGAATTGGCCGGAATAGGTTTTTTGCCCTAAATCAATATTTATCATCATTATTTTCAGCTTACCTAGCGACTACTAACTGTTGATATTCCCTTGTAGGTCTCAAGAGAAGAGTAGAGAGAGGGAAAAAGACAGAGACAGGGAACGCGAGAAAGAAAAGGAGCGTGAGCGCGAACGAGAGAGGGAGAGAGAGCGCGAAAGGGAGCAACGCGAACGCGAGCGAGAGAGAGAGAAGGAGCGTGAACGGGAAAGGGAAAGAGATCGCGATAGGGATAGGGATCGGGATAATAGAGATAGGGATAGAGACAGGGACAGAGAACGCGTCAGGGAGAGGGATAGAGATGACTCCAAGAATGGTAGGGATCTGCTGAAGGAAAAGGAGCTGGAAGAAGAATCCAAGGAGAAGAAAAAAGCAGAGAGGAGAGCTCGAGAAAAGGAAGCTGCTTATCAAGAAAGATTGAGGTGAAAATTGTTGTTTCTCGCAATTCTACAGTATCCTATTTGGAGCAGCACCGCTCTAGATTTTTTTTTTAAATTTGGTTTTATTAACATTTGGTACATTCCTAAGTATCAATTCTATTATACCAACTATGATTGATTTAAAATGCATAAATTCAAATAGTTGTGTCAATTTTTAGTGATATGCTGCTTGTTGAGAAACCTCTGAAACATATGTTTCAATTTTTACAATATCATATACAAGAGGAATTATTATAAAATCACGATTATGATCAGCCTATCTTAAAGTAACTAGTATTTCTTTTGTTGTTGTCATACACACCATGCTGTTTGTGGACTATCAACGAAATTACTGATAATTGAACTTGGAAAATAAGAATTTTGTTTACTCACAAACATCGTGTGTATAACAACTACAGAAGAACTATTAAATTAGTGTTCTGTATAGGAGTATCGGAAAATAATCATGATATCTTTATCTTTATTATTATGCCCAAGAAACATACATGTTTATAGCAGGGAAAATTATGAAAGAGCAACTAAAAAAAAAACAAAAATTAGATAATCAGATAATCATTTTTAAATCATATACATAATACATATATGTTGTTTCTTCTAGAGACTGTTGAATATAATTTCTTGAATTGATTCAGGATGACATGGAGAGAATCAAAGACATAAGTATTTTTTCAGTTCTTTTTTGAATTTTTCAACACTTAATTTTTTCTTTAGTCTGGCAGGTAATTCATTATAGAGAATTGTTCCATTGTATAAAATAGATCTTTTACCGATATCTGATTTAATTTTGATGAGAGTTAACATATCTTTTTGTCTGATATTACTTACTGAATTTTTGCTTTCTGAATCGATCATAGTTTTGTTGGCCATGTGATAATGAGAGAATTGAATACTCACGAACATTGATTACCACATGTTGAGAAAAATTGAATTCAAAATTTATCAAGAAGATGCTGCTCGAAGTGGGAAACTCTGTACCAATAATTTAAAATAGATATATTTTTTTACAGAGCTTGGGAGACGAGAGAAAAACGTAAAGCTAAGGAATATGAGAAAGAAAGGGAGAGAGATAGATTGAGAGAGGAAGAGAGAGAACATGATGCAAAGAGACTCAAAGAATTTTTAGAAGATTATGATGATGAACGGGATGATGTGAAATTCTACAAGTAAGTCATTTTACCAATATTCATTATTAAATTCAGATCAATTATTAGTGATCTTGAGATCCAAAAAGAGAGAATCACTCTAAAAATACATTGTTTCTTCTTTACTAGTAGAAATAATAACTTTTTTCAAGATCAAGCTATTTTTCACTGAAATACACATTCACCTAGTAGTTGAAAAGAGCCTTATTATTTTCAACAGTAATTACACAGGTGGTGGTAATTTTTTGATAATTTTAACTAGATGCCCGAATCTTTGTTGCTATAGAAATCTCCATGAGTGGAGTCCATGTCTGGGATTTCTCAATAGCAACAAAGGCGAGTGCTAATCTAATTAGAATTATAATGTAGGTAATTTTTTGATAAATTTAACTAGATGCACGAATCAATGTTGCTATAGAAATCTCCATGAGTGGAGTCCATGACTGGGATTTCTGGATAGCAACAAAGGCGAGTGCTAATCTAGTTGGAATTTTAATGTACTCATTTTTTTAACTATTTCGCAAAATGCCCAGTGAATACAAACATTTTACAGCCACACACTTCGGTTTTGCGTCATTTTCGTTCAAAAAGACTTGTTCATTGAAGAAAACAGCCTACCAACAACGCAGTCTATGGACCCCTTTATGTATGCATTCATACGAAGATCCAAACGTGGAAAAAATATTGCTGAAATTTGCTACTAACAAAAATTATCAGTATGATATCAAATGGTTGGCAGAATTAAGAATTGATATTGTTTGAAGAAAACGTCACATTTTATCTAATTATATGATAATAAAAAAAAAGAATATCTATGATTTGCTGACTTGGAATTATTGTTATTATTGTTTTGGTACTGACTAATGGTCCACTGTTATTTTGATATCAACTGCTCAACACCTGCAATGAACTGATGCATAATTTCACTCCTATTCAAAACTGTATAACTTCTGAATGACACAAATTGATTTCAATTTCGTTTTCAGTTCCTGTGTGATCATTTCATTGGGTATCAAGGTATTATATCCAGTTTTCAAAAATCCTTGTTACTGAGTATAAATAAAAGTATACAAAATAGCCTGAATCTGAAAGTCATTGTCATAGACTTTTCTTAGAGTTTAAGAGTAATTGAAAAACATTGCAAACTTAAATATAGAGTTGCATAATTATGTCACTCTTGGTAATTTACTTTACTCTAAAACGAGGTATTTTCCCAAATTTCCTGTTCAATTCAGAAGGAATAGCACTCCTGTGAAATCAATTTGGGGCTTCGTTTACGAGTTGATTAAATTAAAAAAAAAAAAAAAAAAAAAAAAAAAAAATACCTCGCGAAAATTGGATAGTTTAGTTAAAAAAAAAAAAAACAGGGACTCAACTTCTCAACAGTGGCATCTCGCCCAAGAGCAGTCATCCAAGCAATGTGGCAACTCTTGGTTGGCCTAAAAATTAATTCAATATCATTAATTCCAGAGAGCTGTACCTTCTTGGCAGATATTTTAATTTTGGTAATATAATCATGACAACAAAATGATAATTAAAAAAAATAGTATATTGTTTAACAAGCCTGGAATGATAGTCATTTCCCATGAGAATGAAGCCGTAGGCGAATGCTGTAAATCTTACGAGTAGGAAATAAGCATTCCCTACGTGTTATACACTATACTTTTTCAATGGCTGTAACAGATAACAGCAAAATTTTTGATTTCACCGGCTCGTAGCCATCTGATTCACTCTTAAGTAATGCCATCGATTAGACAGAGCTGTCATGGCTTGAAATTTGACATTTTATAGGAGATGAGAATTTGTGAAATAATAACAAAATAAAAGTCATTATGATATCAGATACGGAAATAAAATTGATGACATACAAATTACCTCATTGATTTATCGAACACAGTAAAACAAGAGCAATTTTGTTATATAGCTGTAGAAAAAATATATAACAGCACAAAGTTTGTTAACAATATAAATTTATGAAGTAACATATTCCTGGAATTTGTTCTTCATCTTGACACCAAATCATTCATTTTGAAAACACTGTACACAAATTAGACAGTGTACATCGAATCAAATACGTACTGTACTTATAAACTAAACAGGAAACACGTTTAAATGTTACTATGAGGAAAATAGACCACCCAAACTGTAGTAAAATACCAAAATACTTCAATAACCTAAAATTCACTAACGAAAGAAGTTGAACGCAAGGCAAAACACTGAACAACTGAAATTCTGAAATTAATCCGGCTCTGTCTCAAGTCGACGTCAGACAAAATGACAGAGGTAAATTCTTACACAGTTGCCAAATGAATTCGTGAGAAATTAGAAGTTCAAAATATTCATTCAATTGATATCAGTGAGGCTATGAATTTTGTCGCGAAAATTTTATATTTGATTTTTGTAAAGCTGTTGATCATCATCAGCAAAATGAAGTTTACAGGAGGCAATACGATCTATTTTCAGTATTCATCTTATAATTTTCTTCAACAATATGAATGTTTTCTGTGAAATTGATGATGAGCCCCAGAATATTATATCATAGGATATGATTGATTGCTCATGGGCGAAATAATATGTTCTCAGTCTACTGATTGATACTTGGTCTCTAAGTTAGGTAGGTAGATTCCACAAATTGAATTCAATTTGTTATTCAATTAATTAATGTGACCGTCCCAGCTGAGAGACGTGTCTGTTGTTGAAACAATTCTTTCTCCGCTCATCGTTGATCCCACCTATCTATCATGAATTATTTCACAATTTCTTGATTTTTTTAGGGGCAGAGAACTACAGAAAAGAGTGGCAGATAGATTGAAAGAGGCTGAACTGGATAGCAGAGACAGAATGAAAGAAAAAGAAGAAATCGAGGAACTCAAGAATAGGATATTTGCCGGTGAACATGAAGATCCCAACGCTGAATTCGAAAGAGTAAAAGTCTAAATATTTCTAATTGTATATTTATACTTTCAATCCTTCCTTATATTCAGGCCAAAAAAGAAAGAGAAGATTTGTACAAACCCCGACTACTCATCGACGTTAACTTGGAACACTGGAAGCAGAAGGAGAGAGAAAAAGAAAGAGAACTGGAAAGGCACAAAGCAAGAGAGAGGGAAAGGAATCGAGAGATGGACAGGGAAAGGGATAGGCAAAGACAACGAGAAGAAAGAGAAGAGTAAGGATAAAATCTTAATACAATTGAGATCTCGATGTTATGTTTTATTTTTGTTAGATACGTGAGACAACAGGCAGCACAGGAACTAGCAGCTGTTGAAGCTGAACCCATAGATAGTGATAGCGATATAGATGATAATCATTACAGTCCTGCCCCTCCTGAACCCGACAATGTGTCACTAGACAATTTAGACTCGACACAGGTAAACTGAAATTATTTTATATCTCCTTGAAACAATACTATTCTTCCTATGCACTGTGAAAACAGCAACTTATCACGCCATTAAATAGGCGTAAAATGCTAGGTAATAATTTTTTTTGTCAAAATCATAACGAGTATGAACGAGCCAACACGACCGCTTATCAAATAGATTTATAAAGGATGTTCCAGAGTTGTAGTGACAAAAGTATAAGGAAGTCTTTGGTCAGCAAAATATGGAAAAAATTGCATATGAACATAGGTCCCAAAATGCTTAATTTTTAAGATAGAGGGTGTAAAAATGGGTTCTTTATTTATAGCTTCAACCGATTTCAATCAAAATTTCATTATCTGATCAAAAAGCGGAGTTACAGTACAAATAAAAAACTTCAATTTCATAATAAAACATTTTGTTTTCAAATCGCATCAAATGACAAGAGTTATTTTCTTTTATTGCCGACTCTATGTCTACTTCCTCACAAGATAATAGAAGTATTTGAATTTAATAATAACATTTCGTCGATATTTTGAATATAAAAATTTCAGTGGACGCAAATTCAAGCACCAGATGAAGACTCTAGGCATTCTTTCGCTTCAAATCATGAAGATCATTCAGCTCCGACTGGTACCGGCATGAAGATAACCTTATCGAAACCGATCACTCTTCAGTCACCCACGAGGGATTCGAAAAGAAAGAAATCTAGCCTCAGAGATGTCTTCAACCCTGATGAAGATGACAGTAATACTCATGTGAGGAAACGAAAATTAGTTCCTTTAGGTATACTTTTTTCTATTTATTATTATCTTAAGCATTGTAAGGAAGTGGTCTTGGTTTTCCAATTCCATGATTCCTTATGATTACATTCATCTATCTGGAAACAACCTGATTACTTATCCTTACATCCTTACTCTTACCATACCTGAGCCCTTTAATAATAATAATAATAATAATAATGTGTCTTTATTCATCATCAATAAGGAAATTACACAAACAAATTAGAAATATGATACATTGAGATGATGAAAAGGAGAGGTTCAGCTATCAAAGCTGCTTTTAAACCCATCCTCAAGAAAAAAAAAAGAAAAAATGATGAGTAGGTAATAATAACATGAAATTTAACAAAAATAATAATCATATATGCTATACTAACAGTAAAGGTAGGTAATGCGTTTTGAATATAAATATATATTAATAAAGGTGATAATAGTAGTGAAAACAATGATGATAATAATCGTAAAAAAAAAATAAGTTGATGATATCAATGAAGATGATGAACCAAGTAATGCATACATTACATATCGTCACGCCTGGAGAGAAACTAGCTTTGTAACCATTATATCATTCCCTTGTAAGAAACAATGCTTTCAATCTCTTCTTGAAATTTTTTAAAGTGAATTCTTTTAGTTCTGAGGGAAGGGTATTATATAATTTAGATGCATTATAAGAGAAGCAACGGGTGAATTGTGCTGTGTGGTGTTTGGGAATGAGTAGAATATGTTTGTTGCGTGAGGAATTATTACGTGAAAGTGGGACCAATTTTCTACGTAGGTAAGGCGGGTATCCAGTTTCCAATATTTTATGGGTGAGAGTTAGCATATGCATCTCCCTCCACAGCTTTAATGTCAGCCAACCTGAATCTTGGAAGGATGTACTAATATGGTCATACTTACGGATACCCTATGAAAATCGTATGCAGCTATTTTGTATCCTCTGTAGCCTTGTAGCATCTGTATCTAGAAGCCAGTCATTCTTGACCGACAGCTTGATCTCGTGCTGAGCCGATGCATTTTCATTGGTTCGAACGTGCCAGGCCACGCGAAGTTTTCAGAGTAGGGGGCATCTAAGTGATCAGCATATTGCTGCTCAGACATTGTAAAGTCGTTCTGGTGTACAGAAGAGCATGAAAGGATGTCAGCTAAAATCGACCGACAAGGCAATTTTTTCAATGAATATGAGTTAAAGTTCATGATATACTCCTATTAGTCATTAATTTATCAATGCATTCACAGGGGTTGGAACATTTGCTATAACAGCAAAAGAATTAAACACCGAAGACTAGAAAAATTGTTTAATTTGTTACAGAAATCTCGTGAAACAATATGTACAAGAAAGGGGGCCAAAAATGAGATGAAGAGAGTGCGGATGCATTGAGAAGGCTGCCAAGAGATGCCTTCTATGTGCATTGAATGTTTTGTGAAAACCCATTCCAACAATATTTAGATTCAGATATGTTCATGGGTTTTTCACATTTTATACAATGAACGTTTTTGAGGCATTATTGAAGCTATAAATTTCATAGTGAGCGCCACAAAGGGTTTATGATATTTAGAATCGAAAATTCGTTTTTATTGAAAACATTTTTAATAATTTTATGAAGTATTGTTCTTTGTTTGCCCAGTGAACATTTTCTTAATCGTGGCCTTTAATCTCTAGCCATGAACATTTTTTAAATGGGTTCTTCCAGTAGTAAAAATTGAAAAAAATAATATTTTATCTAAAAAAATTGCTTTATCGGAAAGAGGACGTGAAAATTACTAAAGCAAAAATACTCACATTTTTTTGGGGGGCAAATTTTAAAAAATTCTAATGAACATGAATTTCTCTAATTTTCTTTTCAACCCCCTGCATAATTTCCAGATTTCAACTTTTTCGATTTTTTTCTGAAAAAACTAAATTTTTCAAAAAAATTCTAAAATCAGTTCACGGGGTTTTCTGATAAAGCAATTCTTTTTTTTTTTTAGATATAATATGATTTTTTTGATCTTTACTACTCGAAGAACCCGTAAAAATTCAGTAGGCCCATACATGGCCAGGGATTGAATGCTTGTCAAAAATACCGACGATTAAGAAAATTTTCACTGGGCGAACAAAGAACACTTGATAAAATTATAAAAAGTGTTTTCGTACGGATCGAACTTTTTGAATCGCATGTTCACCTTAAATAATTGAAAAAGTTTCAAAAGCAACCTGGAGCTGAAATCTACAACTTTTTTCCCTTGTATAATGAATAAATATTTTCAGATTATAGTGAAGATAAAAAAGCGAAAAAGGAGAAGGACAAAGAAAAGGAGAAGGAAAACGGAGAGAAAGAGAAAAAAATCGATGAGACGAAATCCCAAGAGGAAAAACGTAAAAACATCAAATCGCTGATAGAAAAGATACCGACTGAGAAAGATGCCTTGTTTGCATACCAGCTAGACTGGGACGCCATAGACAATGGGTTGATGGAGAGAAAAATTCGACCGTGGATCAACAAGAAAATAATCGAGTACATTGGGGAACCAGAACCCACATTGGTTGATTTTATCTGTTCGAAAGTGTTAGCTGGGTCACAGCCTCAAATTATCCTGGAAGATGTTCAGATGGTATGTGATTTTGTTTCTTTAGTTTTATTATGCAAACATGAAAACTCATTGCACTAGTGCGAAAATATCGTAGTCTCACACTATAAATTTTGCCGAAATTCAAGCAGAAATTTGCTTATTCGAGCGTTGTTCACAAACTGATCGCCCTCATAATGATTCATAGATGAGCAGTGGCGGCTCCTCAGAGTAGGCAACGGAGTCTAAGCCTCCTCAGAGATTTTCCTTAAACTAATATTATTTATACTTTCTCATTAAAAGGACACCAAAATACATGGATTTCGATTTTATTTCCTGTTTTTAGTTAAATATTTTTGAATTGGCAACAGTGCTTGACAACGCATCACACGTTGAAGTCTGCAAATCACGCGTAAAATATTCAACTTGGCAACATCTATAGGAGGCTAGACTACTTCACATTGCGCAGCCTATGCGCGCAATGCGAATGCCCGAATAGCACGTGTTTGACGTGTCGTTTCGCGAATTGCGGACAAACGCGAGTGCATTGTTTATGTTTATGTTAGGTTAATGGTTAGGGGCACTATAAATTTCTGAAAAATGAGTGTTTTAAACGATTGCGATTTAGTGGAATACTTCTTGGTGAACCCACTCAGTGCTTTGTCTTATGAAGATAAATTGATTGTGAAAAACAAACGTCAGACACCGGAATTGAAAAATCTGATTGTAACAGCTAACAAACAAAATCGTCTGTTCAATTCTGATAATTATAAAAAATATATCTGGCTGACGGGATCTGAGGTAAGGAATAAGCTGTTTTGTTGGTACTGCGTATTATTTTCAACCGATAAGTCATCATGTTGGGGGCGATTAGGATATAATGATTTGAAAAATTTGCCTCGCGGATTGGATAGACACTGCAAATCACAGGAACACATCTCTTCAAGTATTAAGTTCAGGTTAACTGGTAAACAGAATGTCATTAAAGCTATCGATTTAGGTGAGTAGAGAGTTGTTTTTCACAAATAAGCTCATATCATTCAGCCTCCTATGTCATGAAAGTCACGAGCCGCCACTGGAGATGAGATCACAGTGCTATGGTGCTATGGCCAAGGGAGGTGTTCCCCGAGGCATATAACCTTCAGAAATTCAAGAACACCAATTCCTACTTTATTTCCTTTGGTTCTCACGATGTTCTCTGAACATTACAGGATATCCCTTTTCGTGGGAAACAGAATGCAAAAAATATACCAAAAAAAGATGTATTTACTTGTTTGGTTGGTACTGTGGTATACCTGGTAACACAGGAGACAAGTAGCAGTCTGTAGTTTTTCTATTTAAAGAGATGACATTATGAAAAATACATGAGCTGTATAATTATAAATAATAGTGCTGAACTTGGCAACACATATTTCGAGCACCTGTTTGACCGGAAATGACCCCAACTTTTTTTTCTTTCGAATGTTACCCTGTATTTTTTTTCAGTGAATCTGATTCGTCTTCAAATTCGCTATTCAACCATGTATCACAAAGTGGTATTTGTTTCTTAATTCGCTGTTTAATGAGGGCTAACATTATTTATTGTCCACTAGGGTCCCTGCTTGATGTGAATTGACGTATTTGTCATCTTAACAGGGTACGGACAGATCCTCGTCTCCTCTCACTCTAAAGTGTTTGTGAAACAGTTATAGAGTTCCATCTTTATTCATTTCTGGGAATAAACACTAGATTTCTGACATTGGTTGTTTTAAAGGTTATATTGAGGACATTGGCGTATCATACTTGATTTCCACATGTAAATTCTCATTCAACTCTACATATTATATCCAAATGATGATGATAATTTTCGAGTTTTTGATTTTTTAACTCCAGCATAATCTTTGTGAGGCAGTGTGCAAACTTTTCTGAACGTTTAATTCGTTTCACCAAATGGGACTGTTCTCAGGCAGTACCTATAAAAAAATAAATTTTGATTTCAGACTAAGCCTTATGGATGAGAAATGGTGGGAAATTGTATGTAGGTATTCAAACTAATGTGCTCATATGTCATGTGTGCTGTATACAGGCTGAATCACGGTGGATGGCACATTAGACGTTTCTGGAGAACACAACAGACTTATTCTGAAAAGAGCTAATTTCATCGATCTATCACACTTGGGGTCTAGCGGGAATATTAACAAAGATATAGGGTGTGAAAAATCGAGATTTTTCAACTTAACGAATTTTTTTGTGTCGAAACTATTCATAATTGTTCAAAACGATCTTTTTTTTATTTATTTCAATGTTTGCTATGAACATTAAATTGCATCTCATATAAATATAAATATAATCATTAACATCTACAATGGAATAACATGAATAATCAGACAGATTGATATCTGGTATGAGATTATTCATGCGTTATTAAATTAAATTATAGTTATTGAAATAAACAACAGAATATGAAAAAAATAAATAAAACAGAAAGCTCATGAAGAGTACCTTATGACATGAAATAAATTAGTCAATGAGAAATCATTCACTCAGGTTTGATTTTCTCTTTGCAAGAGGATATGTTTCTTGACTTTGATTTTGAATTGGGTGATATTTGTGCAACTTTTGATATCATCAGGTAATTTATTGAATTTTGAGATAGCTCCGTGAGTGAACTTTTTTTGACCAAGTGTAGAATGAGCAGCATCAAGATGAAACAAGTCATATTGTCTAGTATGATGTTCATGGATTTGAGAATTCCTTACCAATATGAAGTTAGATTTGAGGTGTTTGTTGATAATATCAAAAGAAATTTTGAGAGTATTTATCAGATAGTGCTCTTCCAAAGAAAATGTATTTGTTTCTTCATAAAGTTGATTTGATGGGGTGTCATATGGAAGACGATACAGTACTTTTAATGCTTTTTTATATAGTACAGATACTTTGTTGAAATTATTCTTGGAACATGAACCCCAAATATTTATGAGATAGTTCATTTTACTAAGGATGTGAGAGTATAGAACGGTATTTGCTATATTTGGGAAAAGTTTTGGACATCTTCTTAAGGCACCAACTATGGGGGAAATTTTTTCTTTGAGCATGCCAATATGCTTGTCCCATGTTAACTTTTTATCAATCCAAATACCAAGGTATTTGGTATAGGCAGTTTGTTTCAATCTTTCATTTTTTATTATAATATTCAAATCAATATTTTGTTTATTTCTTTGATGGAAAATTATATATTGGGTCTTATCAGAATTAAGGGAAAGAAGATTGGAGTATAGCCATTCTTCCATTTTTTTCAAATCCTCATTTATGTTGTTTTCCAAAATTACAGGGTTTTTGTTTTCAAAAATCTTAATTCTGAGCCACCTTGTATTTATTTCAATTAAATATCAATTGATAGTGAATAAAATGTTGGGATAGGGACATGAAGACCGTTTTGACCAAGTATAAATAGTTTCATCACAAAAAATTCCTAAAGTTGAAAAATCACGATTTTTCACATCCTATAACTCTGTAATTATAACTGCTAGACCCCAAGTGTTAGATGTCAATGAAATCAGCTCTCCATGAAGAATCTGAAAATGGATAATATACAGGGTGTCCCATTCAAAAAATCGAAGTTGTTGCTACTTTTCAATATAAGCTGCAACGTCGCAACGCTGAGAATATTTTAGGTCGATAGAACACAAGTTATTATCCAAGGCACCAACTTTTCAGAAAAATCCTGAGTTGCGTTCTCCAGAAACGTCTAATGTGCCATCCACCGTGAATCAGTCTGTATATCCATGTTGGGAATCATTTTTGCAGTTTTTCACGAACACTTAATATTTCCTGAAAGTAGGTATAATTTTTTGAATGGTAGGGCATATGCATCTTGTTGCTACTTTTCAATATAAGCTGCAATGTCGCAATGCTGAGAATATTTTAGGTCGATAGAACACAAGTTATTATTTAAGGCACCAACTTTTCAGAAAAATCCTGAGTTGCGTTCTCCAGAAACGTCTAATGTGCCATCCACCGTGAATCAGTCTGTACATATCCATGTTGGGAATCATTTTTGCAGTTTTTCACGAACACTTAATATTCCCTGAAAGTAGGTGTAATTTTTTGAATGGTAGAGCATATGCATCTTCTTTTAATCCTCCGCTTCAATCAAAACTCTGTTTCTACTAAAATGCATTCAAAAACTTGTGGATTGGATAATTATAGGCACATTGAGAAAGTATAATATGTGATTTGCATTTGATGGAAATCTGACAAATTCAAATTTGCCATCCAACATATGATCCAACTGACATTGTACCATCCTTCTAATACAGAATTGAATAATGTCGTATTAAGATAAAGTATGAAATTTAAATTTTGTAAGATCTTTTTTAACGCCTATGAATGTAACGTGACAGCAATGTCATGTCAGGGACGCCAATACTCAAAACCAAAGTCACTAGACGATTAAAAGAGAAAGCAGCTATGATCTGTCCGTACCCTGTTAGACGACAAATACGTCAGTTTGCATCAAGGAACCCTATTGTCCACCAAACCGCGCCACCGAAACATGAGGTTAGGGTTGGTAGAACTGATAAATATACTTCTTATTTTCGTGTCATTTTGCATTTTCCTACGATATCTTCTTCTCCGTCAATGTAATAATTGGTCCTAAAGTTTCACATTGATAACTCGAGGTTTTCTATTTCTTCAAATATTCTACAAAATTTTTTTCGAATATTTTCGATAAAACAGGCAATAGCTTTTAGGGCTATCCGGCAAAATTTTGGTTTTTGACTTTGACACTGAACTCACGTTTTAGTAGCGCCAACTGGTGAGTGAAAAATGTTATCCCTCATTGGCTTTAATTCAAAAGGACAAAGTTGGCTGTGACATGACACTTGGTAGGCTTTTGAATTTAATTAATTAATAATTTAATCATTAGTAAGCCGATATTATTTCGAATTTCTAAATACTCTGATCAATCCCTGCAAGTTTTCAATAACTTGTTTGAGTGAAGATGATAACCTACGAAAATAACTCATGATATTGAGGAAACTAAGATGAGAATATATTTTTTCGATTTTACTTGATTATTTGGGATTTTTTTCCTCATTTATATAAACAGTATATTTTGTGGAATTCAGCTACTCCTACAGAAACTGTATGTCTTTCATTTTCGCAATTTAGCTATCACATGAGCCTACCAAGTGTTGATAATTCATTGAATTCATGTCACAGCCAACGTTGTCATTTTGAATAAAAAGCAATTCAACAATTCAACAGTGAATTATAAAACAATTGAATAGATAATTTTAAAACTAATAAGATGTACTAAAAAAATACAGGGTGACATTTGAAAACAAAAAGTTGAGGTCACTTCCGGCGTGGTTGAAAAAAAAAAGTGTCATTAAGTTCATAAGGAGCGTTATTATTAATTATGTAGCTCCTGTGAATTTCAAAATTTTATCTGCTTAAATAAAAAATATATATATACAGGCTGCTACATGTCTCCTGTGTCACCCGTTATTTTTCGATATGTACTTCGTGCAATTTGGGGATCTCTTTCCAAAAATAGTTATCATCTTCCATATGATACTCCAACAAATCAACTGTATAAAGAAACAAACTTTTTCTCTGGAAGGGCACTATTTAATCAATACTCTTGAAATTTCCTATTATATCATCAACAAAAATCAAATTTCATATTAATTAGGAATTCCCAAATTCGTGGTCATCACACTTGTTTCATCTTGAAGCTACAAATTCTAAACAAAAAAAGTTTACACATGTGGCAATTTCGGAGTTCAATGAATTACCAGATGATGTCAAAAACAGCCCAAACATCATACAATTCAAAAATAAAGTGAGGAAATATATTCTTAGGGTGAAGACACACGGAGCGCTTGTCACCGACTCGGCTTCCGAGTCGGCACACGAGCTGTCGTGTCTTTATGGAATAAAACAAACGCAACATTGAGCAGCGCTGCTGCCGCGCGTACGGTCGTCTGGATGATATGCCGAACGCGTTTTTATTGCTTTGAACGGCTACTCAGAACGTTTTGTCAAGTGCGATTGAATACACGAGAAGCGGTTTTCGAGCGGTGTAATACAAACATTGTTGTCAAGTTGACCGATCCATGATAGCTCTCATTAATTGATGACATTTCCACAACTTCCACGCGAAACAACATCAACACCTTTGATATCTCCCTCAGAATCAGTACAGTCTTTTATAGAACCCAAAGATTCTAGAGACAATGAATTTCAAAGTTTGTAACGTTCATGCATTATGATAATGAAAATGAATGTTATCACTAGTTTTTCTTCTGGTGAAATAATTCTCCTCATTGCCATTTCCTGCTTAGTTATTTGATTCGTTATCAGAGTCAGAAGTTCATAAAACGAATCTTTTGACATTCGTACAAAATTGAAGAATTTTCCATCTCTTTTGATTTCATCATTAAATAAAGTTTAAAGCAAACTTTTCTCAGTTCCTTCCTTGACAATCGGGTGTACCTACATACGCCTGTTTTTCTTTTTTTCTTCGAACACAATAAATTAATCCCACTAATGTTGAAAATTCCTCCTCAGTATCAGATTCCATACCGTTCAGACACTATTGCGAATTTGAACAGGAACTGACAACACCACATTGTTTTCGTTTTCCGTGTCGCGTCAGCAACGGCCCGTGTGTCTTCATGCATTCGGCTGCCGAGTCGGCGAAAACCGCTCCGTGTGTCTTCACCCTTATGCAAAGGAATGATCAAAGCTGACAGGCTGTATGAAATTCTTTTTTTTTTATTTTCGCTGTTTATTTTTCTCCCTTGTTCACTATTGAGTACTGTGATTTTGACATATCATAATGATATGTAAGTTTTGTTCACATTTGCAATTTCAATTATACCAACAATCGATAATACTTCATGATCTTATTTATACCAGGAATTACTGTCTGATCATTCATGTCATTTTTTCCATTGTTTGTTACAGGTGCTGGACGAAGAAGCCGAAGTATTTGTTGTAAAAATGTGGAGGTTGTTAATTTATGAAGTTGAAGCAAAGAAATTAGGGTTAGGGAAGTGATGTAATTTCGCTATTTTTGTATCTTGTACATATTTAATTAGAAATCGCGAATACTTCGATCCATTGTGGAAAAAAGTAATAACATATTTTTATATTATGTTCTGTTTATCCTTGAAATATGTTCAATGATAATTATAGTTCTGCTATGAAGTGTTTTCAATTATTTTTTGTCATTTGTAATAAATCGTATTTTCTCTTTCTTTGGTGATGACGGAGGATTGAGAAATAAAACCAGTGTTCATAATCTACATTTATTTTAATATGAATTATTCACATTGAAACTATAATGAAGCAAAATTAGTATAGACATATAAACTAATATTTTGCAATATTGTGATTGAGAACATCATAATAAATTTTTTGAAAAAATATTGGAATATAGTATATATACACACACAATACTCTCTGCCCAAATCGTTAGTAATACTTCAAAGAACATGATAGTACAATTTGTACTAAAATGAAATGAAAAAAATAAAGACAATCATACATTTCCACACAAACTTAGGTCGAATTATTAAAAAAAAGATAATATAAATCTATCGTCAATATTGTATCTAAAACCTTCGACAAGGACCTATTTACACATAATAATCTAAGAAAAAGGTACATATTTAGTACTCTCAAACGTTGAAGAAAAATAAAACCAAGACAATTTGCTTGCATAAAGGTGAGCCAGAAAACAAAATTTCAAAATTCAAGTAGGTTGGATGGAGTGGGCTAGCTATCGTAAACAACTTGGACATTCAATTTCTTGAAATAATTTTAAAACTAAGTGTGTCATGAAAATTAAGATGAAAGGACTGGTACTTTTTCTTCTATAGACTATCCACACCACAAGTGAACAAAACATCTTCTTTTGTAATGATTTTGGTTCAACAGTGTAGACGACATTATTGCTGAAACAAAAAAGAAATAAAATGAAGACATTTGAAACAGACTAGAAATCAAATTCAAGTTTGGCTAGGCTACGCTTAGTCGGCGGTCTTAAGACTGCTGAATGGAGACTGCCATGCACTGATAAGATAAGATAAGAGCTCAATACCGGTCTGTAGGTGTCTAGCGTGGCCTGGCTAAATCGAAATCAATATGCGTTCAGGAAAGAATCACTTGTATCAGTATTCGTTTATATGAGTCGATGCATAGATTTTGGGAGGATGTAATTCAATGTTCTGCGTGTCATTAGCCAGGAAAGTAGTTGTATTTCTCTTGAAATCTACCATTCTTGTTCATTTTATGAACATCATGTGGAAATTACTTCGAGCTTTTTGTATTTATTCAACATTTCATTCCACTTTGAGTATTGTGGCTATTTAGTAGTTGATTCTAGAAATAATCAAATTGAAAAACAAGCCTAGAAAGTCGGTTTTGAACATATACCTACTAAACATATACGGATAACATCCTATGTTTCCATGGTCAAAAGTGAAGCCAGTTTTGAGGAAACAAATGACAGTCTGCGGGTAAAAATACCTATTTGCGCATGCGCGGGATTTGTCATAATCACGAGTCAAAATGGAGGACGAATTTCATTTAAATTTTATTTATACAGGGTGGGCCACCAGTAACGCCTCGGTCTCTAGAAGGCTAACCACTTTATCTTCTTGGAATTCTTCCTCTCTAGGAAGTTGCATGTCAACATAGGCTACCATTTGAAATTATTTTGAAACATACAGGATGTCCCCAAAAATCACAAAACACTGAAGTTGAACTTTTTTCAATCGAACACCCTGTATATTATTTCATTTTGAGATTCTCCCTGGTGAGCTGATTTCAACAATCCATCATACTTGGGGTCAAGCAGTTTTAATTACTGAGATATAAGGTGTGAGAAATCGAGATTTTCCAAGTTCAAGAATTTTTTGTGTCTAAACCATTCATAATTGGTCAAAACGGCTCACATGTCCCTATCTCAACTTTTGATCAACTATCTACTGACATTTAATTGAAACAAATACAGGGTGGTGCAGAATTCAGAATCTTGATCACCCGGTATATGTCCCAATTAAATATCAGTAGATAGTTAATCAAAAGTTGAGATAGGGACATGTAAGCCGTTTTGACCAATTATGAATAGTTTCGACACAAAAAATTCTTGAACTTGGAAAATCTCGATTTTTCACACCCTATATTTCAGTAATTATAACTGCTAGACCCCAAGTATGATGGGTCGTTGGAATCAGCTCATCAGGGAGAATCTCAAAATGAAATAATATATAGGGTGTTCGATAGAAAAAAGTTTAACTTCAGTGTTTCATGGTTTTTGGGGACACCCTGTATGTTTCGAAATAATTTTAAATGGTAGCCTATGTTGACATGCAACTTCCTAGAGAGGAAGAATTCCAAGAAGATAAGTGGTTAGCCTTCTAGAGACCGAGGCGTTACTGGTGGCCCACCCTGTATATTATGTTTCTTACCGATGCCTCTGAAAATAATATTCCTCCGCGAAAATTTTTACGATAGCAGGAAAAGTACGTCAAAGCATTGATATTGATATCAAAGCTGTCAGTGGAATGGGGAACATAATGAGAGCCACATTCCACATTGGATTCTATGATAATTCAATCATTTTTATTTCGAAATTTCAGCGATTTGAGTGCTTTTGAAAATCGGCCGATGGTAGGTAGGTATATGGTTTTAAACCTGTACATGTAGTGTCATCACTAGGTTTGTTCGCGTTCACAAAATTAACAGTCGTAAACCATCAGGAGCATGGAACTGTTTCGTATTCCACAGATCGCGTGTTTTCGTTCTATCTCCGCAATCTCAAAAATTCACAAAATTCATGATGTTTCACCCTCTAGCGCCGAATCTGGTCATACGATCGAGTTGGGCCAATGTAGTCTTTCACTCAGAATGACTTCAGCTACAACATATCAAAAATCCAGCCATTTTCACCGAGACATTTTCCTATATAATGTAGGTAGGTAGTTGAATAGTAATTCTATGATGATTAATGGGAGGGAAACTTCCTCATTGTCATTTAACAACAATATGAGTATGAAACCAATGAGAATTTGACCAGAAAACTTTCTGACTGTTCCTGCTAGCATCAAAAAAGCATCAGTGGTAGGATGCAGGGACTCTGAAGTCTACAGTGCATCCCATTTTGGTTGAGACTGTCAAGTTCCTCGATTTTTATTGAACAACCTTGCGCTTTTCACGTTCCTGACCTACTTTTTAGTGAATCTCAAGATGGCCTAATCAGATTTTGCATAACTGTTTCCGTTTATGAGATACAGGGTGATTTTGAAAATATATTATTTTTGGACCCCTTCTATTAACAGAGAGTTTTGAGCATTATCCAGTGGCGTACTCAAAATTTTTTTTTCGGGGTTTGGTTTTGGAGATACAACACAAACTTATATATTTTATGGAACACCCTGTATTTTATTATTTTGTTGAGTTCGCTATTCTTCCTATAAAAATAATGCATAATACTTTATGCATAGGGTTTCCAGAAAAGCTGGAAACACACTAAAACATCAAATTATGAGTTTCTGCTAGTGGGTCATGGATTTTCCAAGTTCAACTTGAAGGATTATCATGTGTGATTCATTATTATATTACAATAATAAAATACTTCCTTTAGGTCTTATATGTGTTATGAATTATGTATTATTGTTGTTTAAGATACCTACTATTTATGAATCGCGTGATTGAAGGGGGGAAAATAAGAAATTCAACGAAATTATGAAATACATCGCTCTCTCATAAACGGAAAAAGATGATATATTCAAAACCTGATTCGGCCATCATTTTTATCTTCAATAACAACCGAGAGACCTGCTAGTCTCAACCGAATTGATACTTCACAAATACGATAAGATCTTTATTGTTGGGAGATCAATGAGTGGGAAACCCATTCGCTTCATGATTCCTCATTTCAGCACTCAGGGAGTCGATGTTTATTAAAAAAAAATTAATGAAATCAATTAACAGATGAGTGACCAGAGATAATAATGAGAATAATATACTTTATTTCAAAAAAAGATTTATATTTTATATAAAACATATAACAAAGAATGAAACAGTGTCACAAAACAAAAACAAAAAATTAGTTTGAATTTAGATATTTACATTTAAATATTCATCTATAGAATACGGTTCTAGTTCAGAGAGCCAGTTCTTCAGATGATTCTTGAATTTTTTCACACCATCAATCACTTTCATTTCATTTGGTAATATATTGAACAATCTAATTGCTGAATAATTAGGATGCTTTTCTGTTGAAGTCAACCTATGTGTTGGAAAAGTGAAATTATTGTTCCGAATGGGGTATCTGTTATTATTACTTTGTGTCAATTTGGTTTAGTTTTGCTCCAAAATAATTGATGTGTGTATCCCACTTCATGTTTTCATTTATAAAAACACTCAACAATCTTGTGTTACTTTCTATATTTATGTCAGTTTCAAGAAGTCTTATACTAGTTGTAGTTGTAATTCTTTGCTGTGAGGTTCGAAAAAGGATAACATGAGTATTATCTTTGTTAAGTAATAGATTATTTTTTGAGAACCACTCATTAGCTCTCATAATGAGATTTTTAGAATGTTCACAGAGTTCTGGGTAGTCTGAACTTGAACTGAGTAAATTGGTATCATCAGCATAGCTGGTTATTAGGCTGTTATCGTTGTAATACTTCCCTGTGGAATCCCTATTTTGTATTCTTTTATGTGTGACTTAGTGATTTTACCTTCATGCATAATTTGTACTCTTTGTTTTCGATCTAGTAGGTATGACTCGAACCATTTGAATGCATTGCCACGAATTCCATATTTCTCAAGTTTTGAGAGCAAACAATTTTGGTTCAAGCAGTCATAGGCTTTAGACAAGTCTAAGAAAATTACAAGGGAAATCTATTTTTTTTTCAAGATTCTGATATAACCATGCTGATGCAAGTTTATTAGATAATATCAAAAAAAGGTAGAGCAGGTAGGATCATCCAGACTCCACCCCCACCCCTCCCAGAACTCACCTGTCCCCAATTTTGTTGGTACTGGCCGTAGTTGTTCCAGTAGCCGCCGCCGCCACCGCCCCCGCTTCCGCCGCTCTTCCACTGGCTGTTGCCGCCCCAATTCTGGCCGCCGTAACCGCCGCTGCCGCCCCCGCCTCGCTGGTTCCAGCCGCCCTGGCCGCCCCAGCTGCCGCCGCCGCCGCTGCCCCAGCCGCCTCTGGCCCCTCTGCCGCCGCCACTTTGGCTGTACGGTTGGCTGCGGTACCTGTAGTTGTCTTGGTAGCTGTCCCTGTCACCGTACGAGCGACTACCAGCTACACAATGGAAAGTATTAGCGAAAATAAGCATGCGCCACCTGTCGGAGTTTTTAAAAGCTGTCAAAGCGGTCTGTTTACTTTGTGTGCATTGGTTCACATTCGTTTTTTGTTTGTGCTTATTGGTCACATCCATGAAAATAAACCGCTCAGCAGTGTTCAAATGTTGCCGTCAGATGGGGCGACATGTTATTTTTTTATCGCGAATTTTTTTTTTGTTCTGGTTCCCACGAAAAGGGATATCCCGTAATGTTCAGAGACGCGACGGTGTTTCAGGCAGAAGTTATTGCAATACATCAGTGTGTGAAAGAATTGATAAGGCAAGAGTTTAAAGGCAAAACCATTGCAATCTATTCAGATAGCCAGGCGGCCATCAAAGCAGTCAAATCTATGCAAGTTAACTCAAAACTAGTATGGGACAGCATAGAAACCCTAAATGAACTGGGCAGTCAGTACAGACTGACTCTACCATGGTTACCAGCACATACAGGGTACGAGGGCAATAAAGAGGCAGTCTCACTTGCCCGAGCAGGAGCAAACAAAGCTCTGAATGGCCCAGAACCCTTCTGTGGTATTGTGAAAGCTATACTAAAGACTAGTATCAAATCATGGATGCAAACCAAATCTCAAGAATGGTGCAACAACTCGCCAGGTATGAGACAGGCAAAAGAGTTTAATAAAAAACCATCGCCAACATTCACAGAATATCTACTGAGCCAGAAACGAAGTTCAACTAGAATACTAGTGGGACTTCTCACTGGACATTGAAACACATGAGTACGATAGGTATGACTGAAGAACTGCTGTGCAGGTTCTGTCAGGAAGAAAAGGAAACAGCAGTACACATACTTTGCCACTGTGAGGGCTTGTCAAGACTAAGGTTCCTTACGCTGGGCGAGGAAAACCCAGAAGCCCAAAGATACACAGGGGATCTGAGAGAGAAGATAATATTTGATAACTTGGAATATTTAAGCTTACCTCTGTAATCTCTGCTATCATATCTATCTCGATTCCATCCTCCACCACCTCGAGATCTCTGATTGTTCCATCTGCCTCTCGAATCAAACCTCTGATACTGGTTATTCCAACTTCCTCTGAAGTTTCTTCCACGATTATCATGTCCTAAAACAATAAATATTGTAGATTCATTCAATTCTCATGTGTCAAATTCCATGACATGAAAAGATGAGGAAGAGTAATAGGTCTCACATTTATTTTCGAAACAATGATCACATTTTATCTTGATATTTAATATATCGTTACATAGCCAAGTGTTCTCAACTTACTTCTATTATCGTGTGATCGTCTTTCGGTACTATAGCCAGCTTCCTTGCCAGAGGTGTTGTATTTTTTCACAATTTCTTTGGCTTCGGCTTCTTCAGCCCCAACATAGGATACTTCTTCTAGCCATTCTCCTGTTTCTGGTAGGATCATGGCCGCTATGAATTGAAGAATGTTATGAGAAATTTATCCGAAATGTCGATGAATCATATGAAGCGTTTCGATATTGTGTGAAAAATTTTGAAGGCCAATTTTGAACCTATTTTGTATTAATTTAATTTCAATTCATATCGATGACATTTCGTACATTGCATTCCATGTTCCATCTGTGATACTTTTCTCCAACATATTTCACCAAATACTGATTTCCTGTATAGTCAGTCCATCCATTCAATGTAACTTTATTTCATATTTAGTTCATTTACTTCATTCAAAACTTCATATCCATTTCATCACAATACCGTACTGGGATTTTAACGAGATTATGAATAATGCCTATTCAATTTCTTACCTCGAAACATTTCAAATCCCATCAAAACAATGATTCAACCTCCCTTTGCTCATTTCGAGTTATCCAATCTTCTTTCCCTGATGACGATTAGGTATGATAGTACCAAATATAACAGCTATAAAATATGCTCATTATTAGAGTGTGGACATTCATTCATAATCTCTCTCCCTGCTCATTAGACGTTTAAATTGCTAATACAATATCGAAAGGCTTCATTGCTTATTTTTCAAACTTCAGTAAACCGATTGGAATGTCCTTTTGATCCAAATTGACAAAAAAACATGTTTGGGTTTTTGTAGGTAGAAATAGAGAAGAAATACTTATCAGGGAATTGGACCAAAAGTGACAGTCTTCTTTTCAGTAGTCTGATAAATAATATAACAGAACTATAGATATCAAAAGATTTCATTTTGAACTTCAATTCCAAGGATGATGTGTGATTGAATTTTCTGCGAATGAATATATTGATAGATGAAAAATATGGTTGAAAATTCCAATATCAATATTATTGTCCAGGATCAGTCCGAATAAAGCACATTCTTCCATAGCTTGCTGCTTCTTCTGTTCCAGTGTCCTCAAATAACTACTTTCAATAATATCACTTCATTGTTTTTCAGGTAATTTAAAATATGTTATTAAATTCAATAATTTCTTAATTCCATGAAAACTATCAGATTATTTAGTTTTCCTATAGCGGTTTTACTACGTAGAATGCTTCACATCGCCGACTTTAGTCAAATGTATTTTTAGGCATAAGTTCATCCCTGGAAATGAAATCTAAACGGAATCTTAGTTGGAAAATATACGTATAAAATTAGAAATTATGATAGACCAATATATTTCAGCAAGATTCATTTTTTACTAATTCACCATTTACCAAATTCAAATTAAAACTGGTTCCCCATTATCAATATTAATAAAATAGTGTTTTGAATTCAACACCAAAATAAATATACCTTTCATTTCAAGAATTGTACTTTCGGGAACACCTTTACCCTCCTGAGCCTCTTGTAAAGATTGACGTCTAGCTTGCTCTTCGTCTGCTACTACAACTATGATCGCCCGTCTCTTGAAGCCCTCAAATGGCCGCAATTTACGACGTTGGGCTGATGGAAACACGTTTGTCTGCCACAAGCCTCAGTATTATAATATTGTCCTCAATTCAATTCATTTTGCAAATTATCAATCTCCAAAACAACCAATCGTCGGGGTTTTTCATATATAAAAAATATTAGCTGAGCTCGAGAAAAATACAGCTTGCAGTTGACAGAGAACATAAACATACATCAGTAATCAACTTTACCATCCGGGTTCGTTTCGACGGTCGCTGTCAAAAATACATTTACGCATATCCGATATATTTACATTCAGTAGATTTGTTGTCTGGGTATCGTTCATCATAATTCAGTAGTGAAAGATATGCCATGAATTCGGTATCATGACTACTTCCATCATATCAATTGTGTTATCCTTGTGGTCGAAGAATCCTTGAATAAGTATATTGTCGAGCTGTGGCCATCCTGCACTTGTCGATATCAACTACAACTTCCAACATAATTGATTAAATAAATATAGTACTCTGTCAACTGCACTCCGTAATTTAATATCAATATCCTCCCTTCGGGTCCTCTGGTATACTTTCAACTCATCCAAAAATTACAATATAACAGATTATTACAATGAATTATTAATGATTCCTGGAATTATGTAAAACTGCACACATCACTGGTAGCTATACGCAACTCAACATTGTGATCCACATTGCATTTGTATTCTGTGCTCTAATTATTGACCTCATTGAACATATTCCTCCTCACTAAACAATTATGTTAGAACATGTTGTTACATTTTTTGGTGATATTTTATTTTGTGCGTAAAGCGAAATCTGGTATCTGGTATATCAATTTCCCTATTATGAATGAGCTATTTACGCCATAATACATATCATTATTTAGCTACTGGCTGTTATCATTTAACTTTTTTTTTATTGGTCGTGTTGAGATAATAATTGTCCAACTGTTATGGTCAATATTGTCAATGTGGCCAATGTGTTTCAACCAGTAGATCAAAAGATTTTATCTGATGTGGTAAGTTAATGATCACATAATTTTATCTAGATTCTGTGACAGTTGCTGAATTTGAATTAGTAATAAGTAGGCTCAAATCCTCCAATTCTTCTGGTAATGACAACATTTCCAATAATTTATTGAAAAAATGCAGCTCCTGGATTAGTGCTCCGCTGAATTACCTGATCAATTTTTGTTTTCAAGAGGGAAAATTCAGAGAATTATAAACTCGCAATAGTTCAACCTCTGCACAAGAAAGGGGATCCAAAAGATTTTGTAAATTACAGAGCAATTAGTCTGTTATGCAGTATATCTAAATTGTTTGAGATGGCAGTAATGGATCGGTTAACCAAGTATTTAGTCAAGTACAAACTCCTATCACCGGAACAACATGGTTTTTGCAGTAACAAAATCACAGAATCGGCACTCTGTGAGTTCAGTCAGAAAATAATTTCAAGTATTGACAAAAAAATGTTTGTTTTGGGTATTTTCATTGACTTCTCAAAGGCTTTCGATCTAGTCAATCATCAGTTACTTTGTGCCAAGCTAGAAAGATATGGAATAAGAGGTTTGCCACTGAATTTAATAGATTCATATCTCAGCAGGAGGAAACAAATAATTAGAGTGAACAATACTTTTTCTGATGAAATCGAGCAAGGTGTGCCACAGGGTTCTGTTTTAGGTCCTCTTTTTTTCAATATTTTCGTGAATGATCTAATACTTTATATTCGAAAGATACAGAATGTTCATGTTACGTGTTATGCAGATGATACGAATATTTTGATAGTTGATGAAGATCTAAATAAGCTGAAAAGTACTGCTGAAATGGTTTATTCGAATATTGAGAAATGGTCAAAAAATAATAATCTATAACTTAATCATGGAAAAAGAATAACTGTTCTTTTTGGTTCTAGCAGGATTGATGTAGTCAAACTATTTGAAGGTTCTAATAATGAAATAACAAGCAGCATGTCAGTAAAACTAATGGGAGTTACTTTCGACAGGCAGCTTCATTGGGTCGATCATATTAATAATTTGTGCAAAAAATTACAGAGTAGCTTTTATAGACTGAAATTTATGAAGAACCACTGCAGTCGGCACATACTACTCTCGTTGTACTATGCCAATTTCCATTCCCATATAAAGTACGGGATTATGAATTGGGGCAATTGTGCTCATGTGAATAGAGTATTGGTTCTTCAGAAGTATGTAATTCGAATTCTTGCTAGTGTTGATATGAGAACAAGTTGCAGAGAATATTTGAGAACAGCCAACATCCTCCGTTGTTAGTTTGTATGTACTAGAAGTTTGTTTATACGTTTATAAAAATAAAAACATGTTTTTGAATACTGTTGAGAAGCACAATCATAATACACGCTTCAAAAGCCACCTTCAACCCGAGAGACACCGGAATACGTTTTACCAGAAAAGTTTGTATTATACTGGCTGTAAACTATATAACTCTCTTGATGAAAAAATTAAGAGCTCCTCCCTAAAATTGAATATAATATATTTAAAAAGAGGCTTAAACAACAGCTCATTCAAAAGACCTGCTATACGCTGGATGAGTATTTTATATAATTCTATGAAATGTAAGTAGCGTATTGTATATATTGTATTTAATTGTGATGCTGTTGCATTGTTTGTTTGTTATATTTTTTTCTTTTTTTTGACGTATTTTACTGTTTCATGTTATACATTCAACAGAAAATAAAAATTATTATTATTATTATTATCCTGACATTCCTGATCGTACTGTCGAAACAAATATCAGTTTGAGAAAACGATGAATATAAAAATAAAACCTCAAAAAACGCTGGGTTTGGTAAAGAGCTGCTTTAACACTCGATATATAATAACGGAGAAGTGTCATTTGATCGGTGGGTAGTTAGTAATATTGTATACATCTTCGTAGTAAACATGTTCAAGTTTTATTTTTGTGTGCTGTTTTAAGGTTCCGATAGGGGCACTAGAGTTTGAATGGCTGAGAGCCATAATGTCGACAAAACAGCATGATATTATGAAATACTAGTGTGATGTTCTTGGATATTTTTCTCGACGAGTTCATCAACTTTCTGAAGTATCTCTTCATCAAGCTCCGATTGGTTTTCACCAAAGATCAATTACTCAAACATATATTTTGCTCAAATGCTCAAATAGAATGTAATCTAGACTGAGGTATGCTGTCCACTTTCTGGGGTGGGTCAACTGCTACTTCATTACCAGAAAGGAAATAATACGATGTTTCATGTTTCAATCAGCTAGAGAATCATGTAGAAGTCTATTCAAGGCATATAAAAGTTTTGAGATTGGCATCTATTAATAACTTAGAATTAGGCATATATGTTTTCAAAAACTTATATAAGCTTTTATAATCTGCATAACTTCCATTAGTCGTCAACAAGGTTTGACGTGAGTTCATCTACACGACTTCATTGGACCTCAAATATTCAATAAATTTCCAGATAATTTGAGATCTGTATGATGAAATACTATTTATTGGAAGCATGTTTTTATACAATGTCAGAATTTTTTGAATAATATTCGTTCGAGGCATCGATTTTGATCAATGTTTTTTTTTAGTGACAATTCCCATGAAATATTATCTAAGTGGAAACAAACGATATAATTATTATTATAAACTTGCCACTCGGTCTACCCCTCTTCTTATATCTATGGTAGCAGATAATTCCAGTCATACGAAGTCCTATGACCTTGCGTGAGGTGATGTTTTAAAAAGTATGACCTGAATTGAATCATGTCTAAGACACAAGAAGATTTCCTCAATTCTCTCAATATTGAAAAATGTTGATTGAAAAATATTTCAAAACTTCCTAATATACAATCCTTATTTTTAAATACTTTTTGAGAATGGACCTACATGGTTTGTCCAATCAACTGTCTGAAGAACATATGAAAGAGAATGTCACATACGATAGTAACTACGCCACTAGTTCAGGAAGATTGAACATAAAAATAAAAACTCCCAAATTATTGACCTGATTGACTTGAAATAGAATACCAAATATCTATTTTTTTCTTACATGCGATTCCAACGTCGACAGGAACTTTTCACTTCAAAATTAAGTAAGAAATCTGGAATTACAGTATATCGGCCTTATTCTCACTCATCCTGTATAGTTTTTTCAAACTGTTCTTAGTTGTATACAATTGAGGTAAGAAGTAATAGCAAAATATCGCTATTTGCTAAACAAATAATAGTAACCAAACTTTCTGAAGTAACGTAAATTAATGTACTTACAGTAAATAGTTTATTTCCTTCCTTCAATATATTCCACTATGAATTTTCTCTTTGGAAAAATTTTATTAACACCAAATGTGTTTTGTCATTGATGAACTGTCATAAACTTTGTACCGCCAAAATAATCTACAAATCAAAACCATGAGCGTTCTACCAATCCAGGGTTCTCAGACGAATCGAGCAATTAGAATGCTTAGGGTCTTTAGCAGTCAGAAAAAATGAATTTAAAAAAATATCGAAAGATGTATTTTAATTCATTGGAAGAAACATAAAAACGCCATCATAAACGAATTCCAACTATCATACATGGTACCGAACGGGTGAAGTTAGTGCACAATTTTGATTGGAAATAACCTCACCTCCTCAAAAGCACTAATAAAGTGAACAATGGAAATGACAATGTTGCCAATGGGAAAGTTTCATATTTTTATTTCTCCGTGAGTGGAAAAACCATTGTATACGCATTTTTATTTTTTCCATATGCTCAAATTTCACTTCAGAACAAAAATTCGAAGAATTAGTTCTGACTTCTTCACCATTCTGCTGATGTCATTGGTGAACGGCCATACCATGTTAACACATGTATTTGTATTGTTACTTGATACTTGTTTTGTTTTACCATTTCGATTATGTATAAGAATACTGCTTTTCCCACATTGTAAGATCCGATCCATAATGGTTGGATCTGAATTATGTTCTGCTTCACCTATACTACCTAAAGTTATTGAAATCAGATTTCCATGTCATTTAATAGTCATATGAGCTTCTCATTAATTTCTATTTATACCCAATACGTG